CAGGGTCTCCAAGAAGGCCGTATACTCTGAACTGCTGTTGGGTGCATAAGCACACACAACAGTCAGAGTTTTCCCCCCCATAACCCGCAGGCGTAGGGAGGCGACCCTCTCGTCCACTGGGGTAAACTCCAACAACGAAGCACCTAACCGGGGACTTGTGAGTATCCCCACACCCGCCCGGCGCCTCACACCTTGAGCAACTCCGGAGAAGAATAGAGTCCAACCCCTATCCAGAAGTAAGGTTCCAGAGCCGACGCTGTGCGTAGAGGTGAGCCCAACCAGATCCAACTGGTAACGCTCCACCTCCCGCACAAGCTCCGGCTCCTTCCCCCCCAGAGAGGTGACGTTCCACGTCCCCAAAGCCAGCTTCTGTCGCCCGGGTCTGGTCCGTCGAGACCCTCCGCTTTCACTGCCACCCTTCTGGCAGCGCACCCGACCCCATTGATGTTTCCCGTAGGTGGTGGGCCCGCGGGACGGAGAAGCGGAGGTGTTGCCCACGTTGCCTTTTCGGGCTGGGCCCGGCCGGGCTCCGTGGCAAGCCCGGCCACCAGACGCTCGCCGACGAGTCCTCCTTCTGGGCCTGGCTCCAGAAGGGGACCCCGGGCTTCCTCCGGGCCGGGTATCCTCACTTCTTGTATCGTCTTTCATGAGGTCTTTTGAACCAATCTTAGTCTGGCCCCTTGCCTGAGACCAATTTGCCATGGGAAACCCTACCAGGAACACAAGGTTCCAGACAACACAGCCCCCAGGTTCATCAGGGCACACAAACCTCTCTACCACGGTAAGGTGCTGGTTCTTCAGAGAGGGCTCTCAGTATCAATCGAATGTAAAACATGATTGATGAAAGTAGTAAATCGGTCAGATTTGACCCGAAGACAACAGGAGGGTTAATGCCATATTCACTTAGTAACGCATGAACAACTTTTACAAATATTTCTATATAGTCTGTGTTGGTAAATGTCATCTAGGTTGCACATTTCCTGCTGAAATACATGCATACCAAGTCACTGCGTGGCACTTTGGTTTTGATAAAACAGTGTAGTTCCACTATATAAACGTTACATTCATAATCAAACGAGACAATCTGCAAGATAATTAGCTATTTGGTATTATTCTTAATGCTTGTCATTCACACGTTAATAAAATAAAATAAGTACCGATACATAGCAGAATAATTGTGGCGGTGTTCAGCTTAATAAGCCTTGCTCAACATCATTTATTTAGCTAATACTACAGCGGGCTGCAGGCGAACCAAGTCCGCGTTACGATGCATTCCTTGATCTCCAGTTATAACGCCGGACTCCGCCGCTGGCCGAAGCTAACGGAGCCCCAGGGTGCTAGCTACGGCCGCCGGGACGCGCTAGCGAGCTAGCACCCTGCAGCCCCGTTAGCTTCGGCGGCGTGGACTCCGGCGGCCCACCCCTTTTAACATTTGCTCCCGTTTAGCATTATGGGCGTCATAGCCATATAGTATAAAAGTCTTACCCAAGGCTGAATCATAAACTAAACTGTATATATGCATAAAGGGTTACGTCCTTAGCTGGCTAATAAGCTACATAACAGGCTAAGCTAACAAGCACACAAACACCTGCTAACGGGGTTAACATGTATAATATTATCATTTTACTCACCGAAAAAAGCTGAAAGTAGACTTCTTGGAAGATCTGTTAGTACATTCAAGCGCACAGCACGACATTTTAATGATCTGGTATTTGTAACAATATTCCCTAACAGGCACGATCACCACGAACACAGCTAAAGGATCAAGTACAGTAACTACAACTAACTAACGTTGTAGCCTCTATGGTTGTAGCCTAGCAGATTGGACAAGTTGCTGTTAGCTGACAGTGAGGCACGTATCTGTCAATCAAAGTGACCACGCCCTAATGTATGCACAAACTTTAAGACCTAATATAAATATAAAGGGTCACGTTAGAAAACAATTCACTCACAGATCCATAATCATGAAGGTGGAATCTAACTATAGCGATAATAAAATGTATGGAGCCAGGGGTAGAAGCATGTTTTTTTCTGCTGTAAAATCGGGCATGGGGTCTATGGAAATTACTCCTTTCTGCAGCCATCGCCTATCGGCCAATATATGAACTGCAGTGTGTGGCACTTCCGTATTGGCTTCCCGGCTCTACCCCACAGTTTGCCGCTTGGTCAAGTCAGGCAAATTGGGTCCAAATGTTATTGCATCAATGATCTGTTAACATTAAAATGAATAAATATATGCTGTAACTATTTTTCTCTAGGCAACTCAAGGGCTCAGGTAATGTGATTACTATATGAATAATTGTCCAAAATAACATTAAATCCATGGGTTTTTTTGTTAAGTAACATACTTTCGTCGCCGGCCGGCCGATACATGCCGCGCATTAAGTGGGCCTGTCTATCAATTAATCCCCGGGCCACTTTTTCCTCCCAGTCCGCCCCTGGCTAACTCCCTCTGTTTAGTTATTCTTTCCTTGACCAATTTAAACAATTTTGTTTACTTTGTTATTTTTCATTAATAGTTTATTTTGTTTATTCCTATTTTCGTTATCTAGTGTCGATATATCTTTGGTCAATTATTTTTTGTTTATTGATGAAAACTGTTTTGGTTTAGGTTTTCTTTCTTTGCTTTTTGCATAGTTTTGTTTATGCCGCATGATTGCGGCTAATTTTGGTTTATTTCATTTTGAGTTATTCTTTGCTTTTGCCCTTCACTTATTGTGTTTTCCCTTTTTTCCTGTTTTAGTTACTGAGAGCTGAAGGTGGTGGTATTGGTGTCCGAGATGGTGGCTTCCCCCTTTCCATGTGCTGTGCTTCCCCCGGGTTTTTGGATCTTTTCTCCGTGTGATTGTGTGAGTGTGGAACACGTGTGACTGGGGTGACTTACGGCCCGTCCACACAGCGGCGTGCGTTGAAGCTTCCAACGCTTCTGCCCATTCACTTTGAATGGGGTGACGTCACTTTTAGCCGAACTGCATCGTGGGAAGCGACGCGGAGCGTTGCTGGCGTGGCTCGCTGCAAAAGTTGAGCAATGTTCAACTTTTGACGCCTCGGCAGAAGCGTCAGCCAATCGAATCATATGCCAGTACAAGCTCTAGCCAATCAAACCGCTGCTTGTGTGTCAGGGGCGGGAGATTCATGTGATTGGTTGTTGGTCGAGTGTCAGACACGCCCGCCGGCAAGCGTCAACGCACGCCGCTGTGGGGACGTGCCGTTAGGCCCATTCCCAAACCGCCCCCTACACCCTACCCCTCCGTTTGCGCGTTCACGCGGAGGGTCCGCCATATTGAGGGCTGTTCCAAACCAACGAGTGTGGAGCGGTGTGGAGGGGGAGTGGGCTATCAAGCCCTCAAACAGCGAGTGAATCTTACATTTTTTGTCAAAAGAGATGCTGATTTGAAACCGTTGTTACATACAGTTACAGCATTTCCTGTTTCTGCCGGAAAGAGGGGAGGCTGTCGCAAAGCTTGCTGCTGTATTTATACCCTTAACCCTTAATGGAGGGAACTTTATTCAGCTGTGAGTCTGGCTACAGACGGAGTTCACTCAGTCACTCATCCTCCACCCCCTTTTCACCTCCTGTCCCTCTGAATCCAGGTTCAAGCTAAACCACTCCTCTTCAGACCGACCCCAACTATCCATTCACCATCACCAGTGTCTAGACCCCAGGGGGGTTTCATCGGATCGGTTCTACCCTCCCGAATGATACTTCCTACACAACGGGGCCTAAATCGCCAAAATCACCATTACATTCATTTGTTCATCCGTGCAATAAATATGCATCACTCAAATCCGTCTCTCCTGATTGAACCACTGATAAACCGCGATGTTAACAACCTCATGTTTTTAACTTAGGATCATACCTGTGTTTAGTCTAGAAAAAGGTAAATGTGTGCATGTTATTATAAAGTTGTGTATATTTACAGACCGTTGCAAAAACTAAGAAGCTTATAAACATCAGGTTTAAAACTAAAAGAGCTTTGAAACACAATGAAAGATGTTTGGAGTTTTATTTGAGTTATTCATTTAAACTTTTTGTCAAAGAGATGCTGATTTGAAACCGTTGTTACATACAGTTACGGCATTTCCTGTTTCTGCCGGAGAGAGGGGAGGCCGTCCCAAAGCTTGCTGCTGTATTTACTCCCTCCATCTGACAGGAGGGAGCCTCGTTGAGCTGCGAGTGTGGCTACAGACGGAGTTCACTCCGTTACGGAGGGGGAGGGTCGAGGGGGTGATCTGGGATTGGGCCGTAGTAATCCTAAACCCAAGGAGGTATCAATTTGAAGATACGTCTGTTACTTCAATATATGAAGAGATAGACCTGCAATGTAAATGTACAAAGTGAACACAAATACAGTGAAATCAAATTGAGGAGCACAAGAAGTCATGTAGGAGGGATTGTACGACATCTGGTGGCCAGTTTTGGTATTGGCTTTCCATTTAAGCATTTATAAACTGTTTCAAATCTTAATTATTTATATAATAACTAATGCTAAATAACTTAATCAACAAGTACAAAATCTAAGTTGAAGTAAAACAACTTTGGTGATAAATCAATATTTGGATACTCAAAAATGTAAATGTGCTTAAAACAGACTGGGGATGTAGTTTGATCACATGAAGTTGATTTTTACTATTACCGGATGAATTTGACAAGAAACACATACAATAAATGCATATCTAATGTAATCAGTCATTTTAATTGTGTACACTGCCGTGCTCAGGGTGTTTCACTTCATTTTGTCATAATGTGAGTAACATGTCTGTTTCATTCATCATGGCAGATAGGCAGCTTACTTTTGGGGTTTTTTCCTCTTCTTTGTAAATATTGTGAGTAGATTTTAAAGCTCATTCAGATAAGCAGACTCATAATTTCTGCTCTACATTAGAGCTCAGCAGGTAAACCTCATGTGAAATAGTATAGTTATAACGTAGGACTGCAGTGGTTACAGTTGGCCCTCATAGAGATTACTAATGTAACTGTTGAAGTAATTTCACTTAGAGATTTTCGCACATAAAACTTTAATACAACACATATTCATTATCATGGTAACAGAACCATAGTTCCTTAAAGTGGTGAGTACTGGGTGACTATGCAGAATCCCAGTTAACAATATGATGATTATGATTATCCCCAACTTATGGTTATACACAAATGTCCTGGACTATATTGGGATGATTTTAATATTTACTGCTGATATGTCCCTGCTGGCATCACAATAATTGGAATACATTATCTTCACTTCTGTGTTGTGTAAATAAAATAAACATCCATGTGCGACCGAGTTAAACTTCTGTTGAAGCGCCACCGAATGATGGGACTGGATTGAGGAAGCTAAGGAGAGGCCAATAGTCACTTTGCTCTCGATAAATCAATCAAAGTGTCACTCAAACAAATCCTTCTTCATCCTAACAACTTCAAGAACAGCTGGGCACCAATGGCGTCCCAGTCCAGTCCCCTCAGACCATGTCCACCAGTCTAAACTTGCCCTCCTGTGGGACCGGCAGGACGCTGATGAAGGTCTTGTAGAGCACGGCTCCTTTGGGCAGCTTGGTGATGACCTGGGTGGCCTCTGCGCTGCGTGGGGGAGGGACAAACACCTCCTTAGTGAACTTGATGTAGCCATTCTCCAGAGCAAACAGCGTGTTGTTGGTTCCCATCCCCACCTGCGATGTAAAGAAGGAGGACAGGTGGAGAGGCTCAATGAGATGTGTACATTTCTACTACATCACAACATTGTTTGATATAGAAAGTGTAACTCACATGTGCTCCTGGGTGATACCTCAACAGCCTCTGTGTCGCAAGGATGTTACCCGCATGGACAAAATTACCTTGTGAGCAAATTAAAAAGAGATGATGGATCAACTTATTTCTGGTATTATTATAAATATGTATTTATGTCTGCATTATTTTCCAGACTAGGAAAGGAAAGTGACAAACACAACCCTATGTATCAAACAATACTGTTAAACAGCAGCCTCCACAATGACAGTTCAATCAAGGCCTTTTTAAACTGAACACCACAACCTTGAACAAGGAAGAAATGTTTGTGTAGATGAAACCTTAACCTGAAAAACTCTCATGGGAATGTACATTTATTTTATTTATCTTTAGTTTGTGTTGTTCACAAAGAAAGATGGACTACTTTGCCAGGCCTCTCAAACATTAGGCATTTAAATAAACATCAACTCTTCTCTTCACTGTGTTTTTACATTCTCAATCCCTACAACAATAGCTATTGTAATTTGAAATAGAAGAGATTGCCTTTACCAGGTGTATAAACACTTCAAAGTAACTTGAGGCTAGTGAAGAATAGGTAACAGAGAATTTTTATTTTACATATATGTATATTACCATCTTGTTTCTTGAATCCATATCTCTGCCCAGGGCTTTTTCCACCGACGTTCTTACTGCTGCCACCAGCCTTCTTAGAGGCAAACCTCAGCAGGTCCAGGAGAGCGGTCTGAGCCGGAACCAGAACTCCTGCCCAGGAGCACACAGACATTCATGTGGGGTCAGCTTCCATATCTCATGAAGACAAATCATAAGCTTGTACTTTACCCTATCATTTTCATTTTATACTACTTTATACTTCAACCCTTCTACCTTTTGGAAGACAATGTTGTACTTTTTAATCCACTACATTTATTTTAGAGATTGATTTACTACTTTCTTTATACATTTAGATTTTGGCACACAACAATTATTATTTGATATAGCCATCCAACGTTATATTTAGGTAACTAAATATACAATAAACCTTGAGTGGGTTATCTGAAAATGAATTGGCATCAATCATATTTCAAAGATAAATGTGAAGATTTCCATGCTTTTGCTTTAATATATTTCTAAAATATAATTTTTTTTAAATGTTGCTTTTTCTGCGATGAGTTATTTTACTACTCGTACTTTTGAGCACATTTTCTTAATCGTACTTTGACTTTAGTATCATTCTTGATGCAGTAGTTTTACTTGAAATGTAGTGTTTGTACAGTGTGCTATTAGTACTTTTACTCAAGTAAAGAATCTGACTACCAATATATGTCTCATTACATCTCTACGAACGTCAAAAGTAATATTCTTGTTCAAAAATATATATCGATGTTTACGCTGGTATCAAGTATGCGTTAAATGACATGAAGTGCTAATGTACAGACTGAACAGCTCGCTCAGCTTAGTTAGCATGTAGCACATTTAAAACGTGTACAAATGTTAACAGAGTGACGGAGTGGCTGAGAATAAATGAATATTTTTCTCAAGTAAAGTAAATATGCGGGAATGTAGAAATAACTAATTTAGATGTTTGATACCAACCGGTTCTGGACTTGAGCATCAAGGACGCAAGCGCTGCCATCTTGAATCTGACGTCACTTACGTCATACCGTCACATCCGGAAAGGGTGCTGCATTTAAGATCCCCAAGAAAGATGCAGTAGATCGCACCGCCTTCTGAAATACTGTTTAGTTGAAGCTGAAGCTAAAAGCGAACGAAGTAACGTGAGCTTGATAGTGCAAATACTAAAACATATATTTAAAATGCCTGGATTTATGTTGCATTATATTATTATATCATTAAAAATATAATTATTATTATTATTATTATATATAGGATTTACAAAATGTCATGTTTCAGTAACAATATATATTTAATTGAGGTTAATGAACAACTTTCCTTTTTATAAAACAAACACAAATATATTACTCAAGCAATGCGCTTGTATTTAATGTGTACATCCATACACTATTAGTTCTCTTACAGACGGGTGGGGACCGGAAGTTCCGAAACGTTCCATAAACGCGAATGCAACATTACCGTGCAATCTGCAACCCGGGAAGTCTAAAGGCTCTGCAGACACAATTTAACGTTCCGTGTGTTGAATTTAATGAATCATTTCTGCTAGTAGCAAGTCTTTACATTAGTACTTTACCTCATTAGTAAACACACGCCTGCAACAAGATATCGTTTCAAGTGAGTATACAAAGCACAGACATCCGGTTACCCAAAGATATGCTCTCTGTTTAAATGTTGGCAGCTTAGACACCGCGGTGAAGTATAGTTTTAAGTTGGATATTCGACTGCCGCATCCAGCGACTCGACGTCTTGCAGTTTCCACCGGAGTTGGCAGCAGGAAGACGGTTAAGCTCAACCTCGTAGCCCTCGTACTTAACCCGCGTACACTCATTTAGGGACCATCAATACATTGTTGTTTTTATCACCAGAAACGTTTAAAAAAATGAATACCTTAATGCTGAGTTGTCCATATTAGTTAAAATCATGAATTTAAATTCTAATAAATTGGTTGATGGAGCACATTCATTTGAAATAATAATGGATCATTTGTATATTTTATATAAATGTTGTAATAGAACATGGCTTTTTCATTCAATAGCTTCTCTGTCATGTGACTGAATGTCTTCAAATCACTTTCTGAATTGAATACTAGTCTGTACACAATAGACACACCTCCTTATATTGGATTCTAGTACTTCTTCTATTATATATTAATATTTTTAAGGAAAATTCATTTTCGTTTTTTCAATAACTTCCAGGTCATGTGACCTAATGACTCAAAATCAGTGCTGGATCAAATAACTACACTGGCTGCATAGGACACACCTCCTTTTATTATATATTATACTTGCTTAAACTCCAAAATGGATATCCTTATTTCACCACCTCCACCCACTACAATAACACGCCCCAATGTTATATTTAGCTTAATTTACAATTAATAGGCTGTTCATAGCTAGCCTAATCTGTTATAGTTCCCTAAATCTCCTCATATAGAGGGGGATAATCCACTAACATGCTTGAATTAATATGTTCATTTGATTCAGATGTGCTGATAATATCCAAAATATACATTTTTAAACGTCTTACCATCACAAACGGTCTATTCTGCTGCAACTCTACTGCGCTGGTAGTATTTGCCGCTAACTTCCGGGAACTATTGAGAGGTTCAACGCCATTGCTAGGGATGGGTATCGTTAGGATTTTATTGATACCGATACCGGTACTGCTTATCGGTATCGGTATTTTTCGATACTCTTATCGATACTTTTCTATAATTTGGTGCTCAAAATTATAGACATGAATACAAGATGTGAAGATTAAATAGTCATTTTATTGTCATTTTCTTGCAGAAATAACTGTATAACTTATACATTAGCTTCTCAGAAGCAGACACAAATAAATAAATAACTTAAAGGGTCCTGGCTCGCCCTATCATGCTTTTTGGGGTTTTCCCTCGGACAGAGGATGAAAAGAGGCATTTACATTTTTTTTTTTAACATTTGTAAATCAGTTACATCTTCATCCAGACATTTCAAACTGACATCCTAGCTCGACAAGAGATCCTTAAAACATTGTCCTACAGTGACATCATGCAAAACTGTGATATGAAGAAATTGGTAAAAAGGCTAAGCTGGCAAAAAGATAAAGGCGAGTATGTATATTATTCTGGATTGTACTTTTAAATCATCACAAAATAAATGATGTTCTGAACTGAAACACGTCAACATGTGTCTGAAGGTTTAAACATAGAACAAAGTCTTTGAGCTTAAAATATGTCAATTTCTAGAAAACGACCAACAATTGCTGAACCATACATTGAAACGGTGACCTTTAACAACATTTAAATGCAGTTTTCCAATTCACAATGACATCTGTAAGTTTAAAGGTGGGGTAGGTAAGAGAAACCGGCTCGAGATACACTTTTTGTTATATTCCATGGAATGCTATTAACATCCCGATAGCAATGAATATCTGATGTGCTTTGACAAAAAATCCATAAGAAAATGTCATCTGTGGAAGCCGTAGTGTAAAAAGCACCACCAATCATCTGAGCCGGCCCGGCTAAAGTAACTGGATGGCCTACCTGCCTGTCAGCCTTCCATCTGGGCGTAAACTTATCTCGTGCCCTCATTGGTCATGTGCGCGTTCGTGTGTGTTGGAGGAGGGGCTCTGTAAGGAAGTGGCAGATTTTTTCAGGCTGTGTATTTTCAAATTCTAGCGATCTCGAGCTGGTTTCTCCAAAATTACCTACCCCACCTTTAACTCGGGTGACCAGATCCCAACAAACCAAATGTGGGACAAGGAGTATGGTTGTGTTGGACAATGTGGGACACCCTCTCAACAGCACCCAACCCCCACCCCCCCCCCGGAAGAAAAGAAAAAACTTAACAAATATATAACAGAGCATAAAGTGAAGTAAAAATGCACTAACAATTTAGTATCTTAATAAAGAAAAGTAAACTAAGGCTAACCAAGGCAGCAGCCATTATTCACTTCAAGTGTTTAGAAATGCATCTTCTTAATTCAACTAGTGTATTACCTGTACAAGTAGGCACAACATAAATTAAAAGGATAGTGGAAATCTGCGAATTTTGGGTTTAACTTATGTATTTTTATTAAAAATAAGCATTATAAACCATTTTTTTTAATTTCATGCGCCTAGTTTCATTTTATTTTCAATTTTACTGCGCCCTCTCAATGAAACGAAATACTTCGGGAATCGTCGGGAATCTTCGGGTGATGACGAGAGCATAGGAAGACGGGCACAAACAATGGCGGATATTCAATAGCATTTGCATGTGAATAGCCGACCTTTATTATGGTGAATAGATGTGTTTTGTATGGCTGTAGTGCGACAGCAAATGCAGAGAATGGCGTATCGACGCATGCGTTTCCAAGAAACCCAGTCATTCGTCGTCAGTGGGTGAAATGTTTGTGCAGTTAAGATAGTAATAAGGGCATTTCTACCGTGTGTTGTGTGTAAAAAAGCGTTAGCATTAGTTAGCATTGTTTCGCTCAATGCTAATTCAAAGGCTTGGTATTACTCTTGTGTTTTTTCTAGCTAACAATTGTTCTTATTGTCAGTTAGCGGAGTTTCTTACCTTTAAAAGGGTATGAAACATTAATAGTTTCATAAATGTTAAGAAGCCCTGAGACATGTGAGAGAAAAAAAAACTGTGGGAGGGGTCCACTGGGGGGACCTTCGGGCTTAACTGGTTAACAATGATTAATATTTGTAAAGGCTACAGGTGATCTTAAGATGCGTGAGCTATGCTTAGGGACCTACCAGTCAAGATTATTTGTGCGTAGGGGTGCATCATCTGGCGCCTGGTCCTGGTCATCCTCGCCATTGCCCATGCCGTGAACCATCACCTCGGGCTCGGGCTCGAACAAATAAGGACGTAATGGTCCATCGTCTGGCTCAATATTGTCACCATCGTCGCTTACTGAACCGGATTCAGATTCAGTTCCTAAAACGACATTTTCGTAGGAAAGCCGAGAGGATGTTTCTGACTCGCTATCATCACTGGATACCTCGTACAATCCTTCTTCTTTGTCTGGTATATTTGCCCTTCCACGTTCATTCTGCATAGACGCCATGGTTTGTTATCGTATCGTCTTCCTAAGTTTTCGTCACTTCCGGTTTGGCTGAGTCGAACATTTTGTTTCTAAAAAACTTTGGGGAAGCTGCAATAAAGTGCTTCTAACATGCGTAAGGCAATTATTATATTTTTTTAATCAGGTGTGATTGTTTTGGTACGTAATTATGCTTGTATATAAGTTAAAACGAAACTATTTGAGGTTCCATTTCCACTATCCCTTTAATAGATACAAATAAAACCATAAATACAAATCAAGACTGGCCAGGAGGGAACAGAAACATAATAATACATAAAATAAAATAGCTTTTAGTTTTGTCCATCACAGCAACAGCAGGTGCTCTGTCAAACAACTCTCCACAGAGGCAGGGGCAAGCACATCTGTTATTATGGACGCTGCTTTTGTACGACCACATGACATTTTCTTTACTATCTCAGAGTCTGGAAAAATGGTCGGCGCTAGCTTGTTACCACAGTCACTATGGTAACACTGGTTATTTCTGCTGCTGTTACCTTGTCTGAGTGGCCATCATTTTTTGGTTTGAGTAGGAATGTCTCCATAGAGTGGGATGTCTCTTTTTGAGCGACACGTTTTGTGAGAATCGCATTATTGGTGTCTTCTTAGCTGTAGTTTCAGTTTCCTCCATTTTCCAAAACCTGCTGCGTCGCCTGCGTTCGTTGTTGTTGTTTGGCGGGGCCGCGGGGGGTGTGTGTGAGTGAGTTACTCTCATTGGTTAACACTTGACCAGCACCCGCCGTGTGTTACAGTTTGATTGACAGCAAACACAGCCCCGTGATGATAGCCTTCCCTGCTTTCTCAACAGCCATTGGATGAATCTGATTTTAAAGAAAAGCGTTTAAGCCAATCAAAATGAAATATGCGGGACATCTTCTCAATTTGCGGGACGCACCAAAAGTCGTGAAAATGCTGTGCAGTCCCGCGCAAAGCGGGACATCTGGTCACCCTACCTTTAACTGGTTTATAAAGCATTCAATGAAAGGCCACATTATTATAGGTGTAAGAGCTCACATGAATACACTGTCAGTGTTAATAAACAAACTAAAAAAAGACAAGGCGATGTGCCTGCAAGACTTCACTCAGGTAAACAAAACATATTACCCGTGCGCAGCAGCTAACCTGCCTGCGAGCCTTCGCTCAGGTCACATTTACACACGGCGCTGAAGCCCGCTAGCACTAATTAATTAGCGCTAGCAGTATCGCTAGCAGCCACATTGTTTAGGCTGTCAAATACGCTGCACCGTTTTAGATTAAATGAGTGTCTCGTTTCCAAATGCTTCATTAAGTTGCTTGTGTTACCCCCATTACAAGCAACTAATTGAGTACATAGATTGCACCTTGCACTATCGCCACTACATTTTTTAAAGTGCTCTGTCCGCCATGCCTGCGGGAGTCTCACAACAATAATAAGAGCGCTGTTGAGAGAGATGACAAGTGGCATTTACAGTGGCCAATCAGAGGGGTCTCAAACCGGATACATCGCACGGGATGAGGGTTCCCAACCAACCAGAATGGTTTAAAGTTAAACTAAGGAAGTAGACGTAACAGATATACCG